CTGCCAGCCATCGGATCACATAGGCAATGCAAAACACTACCAGCCATCGAATCACATAGGCAATGCAAAACACTGCCAGCCATCGGATCACATAGCCACTTTGTGCTAGGGAACGGCATGGCCAGTGAGGGGAGGGAGACCTCTAATCGTGCAGGCAACTGAAAAAACTGCCACTACATCCTCGTTCGTGTTCGCGAGCAAAAGGACGGGTGAAAGTATCAATGATGAGTGAAGCAGAAGCTGCCGCTGTATCGCATCAAACAGAAAACGACAGAAGTCGAATGTGAGGCTGGCCACGCCGATGACCACAAAGGTTCATTCACGGGTCACTCACGCCAGTTCCACCAGGATCTACTCCATGTCACAGGAGCATTTACAGATCACTCCCGTCTTCACGATACACCTGTCGATCTAAATCTGAGTAGAGAATGTGGGGCGGGCCACGCGGATGTCCACAAACACATATTCATGGATCATTCATGGATCGTTCATGGATCACACCGCCTTCGGGACTTGTCGATCTAAAGTTGTGTGGAGAATGTGAGGCTTGTCACACGGATGGCATTAGAAGCCTTGCTCCAGAGATCGGTACCGAATACCCTACAAGTAGCCACATGGACACTTGTTGACTCGGCTGAGCCATACGGCGAAGATGCCTGCAGCTTGGAGTCAGCAGCAGCAGCAGCACCTCGGACGCTCACTGCTCCTTAATGTCGTGGTGTCGCCAGGCAGTTGGATCACATATGGGAGAGCAGTATTCGGCAAGCGGTCGCTTATTCTATGCCCCAGTCATATTAAGCAGACCGTCAAGCCAGGCAACCAGTCACAACGAACACTTACAAAAACTTGCTGAATGCAACCCTCTTTTCCTTCCTGCCAGCTGACCATTACCCCGTCTTAAACAACAAGCGCCGCAGGCCTTTACGAAAAGTTGTCCATGTGCAGAAAGAGACCGCCCGTCTGGTGTACTGATGGACATAGCGATTACCCCACAGCCAGTCCGATACGCAATTGATCGGTAGAACAATCGTCAGCTGGAAACTCTCCGCACACAGCATCGGTTGTGTACTGGCAGGCAAGAAGCTGCAGACATCAATAGCGATCCTGCCGCCAAGTACAACATGTAACACCTGAAGGGCGGAAAACTCTCCCCCTCTCTCGTCCTATGGGACAAAATCCCTAGGTAGGGCAATTCGTGACGACTCCTCGAAAGAAAGATCTGATGACGAATTTCCTAAAATGTGCCCAATTGCTCTTCAAGCTTGAGAAGCATACGTGTCCGAGATAATGCAAAGAGGTTTCGCACCTTTCGAATCAGAGATGCAAACTAGAGTGCAATACAGAGCTGCAAATCGTATCCCTGGGCCAAAGAAATACCCTTAGAATCAATCGAGTCCACACACGTCTCCTTGCTACAGTCGCTGTAATCGCACAGATTGCAGCACAGATTCTGCACATGCGTCAACCAGAAGTGGTGTCACATCTCCTCTACTCGTCAAGGAGAGGAGGTCTCACCCAGAATAGGTTTCCCATCTCCTGTACTTACCCATCTCTGCTCATCCAGAAGAGAAGGTTTCACAACTTTCCAATCACTCCAGCATACGTGCGACGCACGTCTCCTCACTACAGTCTCTGTACATGCGCAAAGCACAGTGCCTATTCCGCATATGCATCAACCAGAAGAGGTGTCACATCTCCTCTACTTTTCAAAAAGAGGTTTCGCACCTTTCAAAGAGGTTTCATCCAGAAGTGGTTTCACATCTCCTGTACTTACCCATCTCCTCTGATCATCCTGAAGAGGAGGTCTCACACCTGTCGGGGAACCGCTCTCCTGCGTAGGTGTCATACCTGCATAGGGGTCAACTCTCCCTTGGCCCATATGGAAAAAAAAAGAAATAAGTTCGAACAACAATAATGCCATTCAGCAGGTCCTCATATAGCCCTGACTCCTTTCTGAAAAATTCGACAGAGTCAGCGCACTTTCTTCTCTCCGGTTCCCTTATTGGGAAAGTAAACAACCGAGTTCTAAAAACGCTTGCCTGCATCTGTTAACCATGACTTCCGCAGCATGTGCAATTTGAGACTACGCCCTGTTCCACACTATGCCATCTTTGAAACTTGCCCTCCGCCATACTATGACATGTTCTCCAGCAGCCATGGGGTAAGACTCCCTGGCACTTTGGGCGGCATCATCTTCCCATAACTCCATCGGCCACACAATGCCATTTTTTAAACTTGCCCTCCGCCATACTATGCCATGTTCAGTCCAGTAAACTGGAAGATGAACACAAACAAAAAACTTATACGACGGCTCCAGAGCACAAACAGCAGCTCCCCCGGAAGATGCGCCCGGCCTGCCACTCTTCTTCTGGTCCTAAACTTTCGTCCATCCCCCGTCCATCGGTCGTATCCAGATTCAAACCACTGACATTCAGTGCTGTCCAGCAGCCTGTACCGATTCAATTTGCGCATCGGACAAGGGGCACGTCAGTAATTCCCCCTAAGCCAGATCCGCTCACCTGTTAAGTTCCCCCTGCCCACAGGAATATTCAGTGTCCAATCAGAGAAGCTCAGCAACACCCGGGGAATTTGTTATCGTGGAAGAATGGTTCGTGACTTCGGGAACCTCCGAATGTCTTTGACATTCAGTGCTGTCCAGCAGCCTGTACCGATTCAATTTGCACATCGGACAAGGGGCACGTCAGTACTTACCCCTAAGCGGTATCTGCTCACCTGTTAAGTCTCCCCTGCCCACAGGTAATCAGTCTCGAATCAGAGAAGCTCAGCAACACCCGGGGAATTTGCTACATCGAAGGAATGGTTTGCGACTTCAGAACCTCCGAATGTCTCGGACATGCAGAAGAGGGGGCAACCCGCGCCATGCACCGTCAAACTGCGGTTTGACTGAGCATGAGCCAGTGGGCGATTCCACATAGAGAACAGCGATCAAGCAACCGTGCGGCTGCGAAGAACCGCCGCAACACATGAATAGAGTCAATAGACCGAAGAGGGCTACGAACAAGGATGTTCAACATCAGAGTGGCAGAGATCAGCACACAGTGAGATCACAGCATCATCTCACCTCCATGGTAGAGATCATCACCAAAAGAGTAGACTGCACAAAAAGGGCAACCAGAGCTGCAGTCCATGTTCATCATACGCCGAGACAATGGTATCTTCTGTCATCACAGGCCACAAACACCTCAGTCAGTCAGGGCCTGCAATGGTTGGGGCATTAGCAGTCAGAGCCATTTACCATCACTGATCGAAAAGGACCGGGTTCAACAAACCAACCAGATACCAATCGTAAACAGTTCGAAAAATGGCACCTGAGATATGCTGGATCGAAAGCTTGGTGACTTCCGAGGACATCACGGAGGAAACCGGAGGGAGATCCGAACCGCTCTTCAAGCTTGTGCAGAAACAGGTCGGCCCGAGGGCGATCCGAAACCGCTCTTAGACGGAGCTCCGTCGGCAAGCGAAAAGCCCCGACCCTCAACCCTCCTGCCAACGCTTCGAGCGCGGATTGTGATCCTCGTTTTCAACGACTCCAGCATGTCCGCCACTTCCATAGCCTCGTCTTTCAGCTGCTGCAACGTCTCTTGCATCTCATCGGATCTCTGCAACACGCGCAGCCCGGTAGAAAAAAATGAACACCATGCAATGCAGTTTTAGGACGAGTAAAAAATGAACACCATGGAACACGTCAGAGCACGAGTTAAAAACAAGGTGGAAAACTTCCCATTGAATAATTCTTCGGCGGATGATTTAACGAACACATTCTCCGGACCATTTCCAACATTCCCTACAGCTAGCTTTGGCTTTACAAACAGGTCCTCCTCTTACGAATCATTTGACAGCTCTACCCCTCCCTTTCCACAATTCTACCCCTCCCTTTCTACAGTTATACCCCTACCTTTCTACCTTTTTACATTTCTACTCCTCCCTTACCTGTACCATTCATCTCAAGAGCAGATCCCTGTACAGCTGTGAAGACAGAAATTGAGAAAACCTCCAATACCAAATCCCAAACCACACCAACAAGCGTCTTCTTTGCTACGGTTCGCATTTAAACCAAAAGTACTTCCGCCAGAGGTCTAGGCTGGCATGCTGCCAGCCATTGCTACAGTGCCGCAACGTTTCCGCTTGAATGAATTTATACCAGCAACCCAGGTCTGTTCAACATCCCAGCACGTTGCGGCAAGCATTCTGCTGAAGTACTCGCAATTTGCAATTTAAGTACAGGGCATGACCTCAAGTGCATTGCAAAGATCGAACTGACAAGAGCGCCGTTCATTGTTCATGTACAGCTCTATTGCAAAAGAGCATTACCATTTTACGGAATACATAACTTCGCCTTAACCACACCGCCAAGTGTCTTCGTTGCATTCACTTTCCCCTTAACCACACCACCAAGCCACCAAGTGTCTTCTTTGGGGGCATGTTAGCAAGGCAAGTACATTGCCAAGATCGAACTGACAAGATGGCTATTTTAACTTTGTTGCGCCACAAATGCGAAAGAGTACGTGCACGTTTTAAAGTACTCGGGTACATCGAAGAACTGTTGAAATGCAGATTCAAATTCGAGTCCAGATACAATCAGATGAACAGAAATAAAATCATTGAAAAAAAAAAAACGAAGAGTACAGGAGTGAAATGACACCAGCGCAACTCGTGAAGTTCTCTGTGCATCACTCAGTTTCCAGGTCTGCCCACATACAAATATTTATGTGCAGATGTCAAAAATCAACACCTGAAGTCTACTGCAACTGAAATCAAGGCTGCACTAATAGACCCCCAAGGGGCCAACCCTGCCGACAGGCCACAAGATTTTCCACCCAATCGACCTTGGGTGGGGTACTCTTTTCTATGGTACTCCACTGAATGATCCCCAAACAGCAAATACCGAACCGTTGGGGTATCCCGAGGGATCCTTGGGCCCAAGACTCGGAAAAAAAAAAAAAAAAAAAAAAAAACAGACAAAAATGGAGGGGCTTCAAGAGAATGGGACTGATGCAAAAAAAAACAAAATAGGCAAAAATAAGAAGGGAATGGAACTGGTTCCGGAGCGCAAAATACTCTCTCACAGTTTTTTTCAGAAAAATAACAAGAACAACAGGAGCGAGCAGACGAAGACGAAGACGACGACAATGAAGAAGACGAAAACGACAAAGACTGTTCCTGTTTCAAACAGACTTTGCACTCGGAATTCGTCAATTCATGAACGAGGATGTGCATATCACTCATTGCACAGCCCGCAACAGAATACCCTCAGTCTGTGGGGACCACCGTTTCGCAATTTTTTTCAACTACTACAGGTGCAAGTTTATGTGCACACAATTCTTTCTGCACCCTCAGTCTGTGGGGACCACCTTTTCAGAACGCATCTTGATATATTTATACATCATGTCAGAAGTTATAGCTTGCACTCCTGACTCAATGCCACTGATATACAGTCAGAGTCCACGTCATGTTGGACAAACTCCGGTACTTCCAAAGCCACATCACACCATGAGCTTTGTGAAGCGACTCAGGAGCGCCACGGGAGGGCGCAAAGGAGTTTATCATTTCAGGACTAAAGGACAAAGTAATGCACACACTGGACAAACTCCGGTACCGCATCACACCATGAGCTTTGTGAAGCGACTTAGGAGCGCCACAGGAGGCGCAAAGGAGTTTATCATTTCAGGACTAAAGGACAAAGTAATGCACACACTAGGGACCGCTCTCCCCTCACCCACTGGACCAGAGACAACATCAACACGCTCATCGACGCATCCAAGCTTTCCACATTTTTTACGATCAATCCATCGCACACGACTTCACGTGGCAAGAAATGCCACCACCTCCACAATTTGATGAAGGACTCTGGGAAATGCTCTCCTCTCACCCACTGCACTAGTCTTCATAGTAATGCAAATTTGAAATTTCTCCCTCCCCACTTGGTCCTGCCCATAGCGCGTATCCTTGAGCACCAAACTTTTTTTTGAAAAAGAACATCCTCAAGACGGTGAATAAGACCAACATGACTCAACCATGTACTAGGAACGAATCCGCTCAAGGCAGTCGGGCAGATGCATCCAATAATGGGTTCTTGGCGGCAGAGAGACCTGCCGGAGACTAGGATGACCGAGGTGGGACAAAGGACGAGGAGGCATCTTCACACACCTTTCAGAAACCTGAGTGCAGCAGACCATTCTCACATTCTGTGAACTGTACTAAATTCCATGGTGAGACCCGCCAAGCCAGCTTCGCCTCTCTCCAGTGCAACACTATGTCACAGAAGCTCCATGCAGATTACACCTACGCCCTCAACAACACAACCTAGCGTCTCCCTGCGAAGGCTCGAACAGCGCTCACCAGAATTGACGAGATTATTGCACAAAATGCAATTCTCGCTCAGCATAGCGACAAACAGTGTGAGCAGCAAACAGATATGCATTTGTATCTAGACACTGTAGACAGCCACATGGTCCAAACAGAGTGCGACTCGGTGTGACAGACGATTCTCGCTCACCATAGCGACAACATCGCTTCACTCTCCGTGTGCATTTCATACCTTTTCCATTATCTCTGTACCTACACAGCGTCTTGGTCCAAATACAAATCCATTTCATCCCTTGTCCTCAATCTCCATGCAGCTAAGGTACTTGACATCAGAAAGGCCTCTTGGTCCAACTCAATTACCACCACTAAATCTCATGTCACTCCTCACCCGTGACACCCGCCCATGCCGCTTGGGCTCCAAACAGCGTTAGCTGCAAGTGCTTTGAAGAGATTCTTGACACCCGCCCATGTCCCCTAAGCAAGCATAGCCTTGCTTCATCGTATATCCCCCTGAGGCTCCTCTTCGAGTCATCATTGACAAACTAAAGCAATAAACCTGTGACCCCCCCACCCCCTCCCAATTCTTTGAAGAGATTCTTGAGACCTTCCTTCCCATGTGGAAGAAATGCTCCAACAACCTGGCACGCCGGCCTCAGCCCTGCCATGCAGCCTATTCACCACACTGACAGCTATCTCCAACTGCCTCCAGAAACACAGCCTGACTGTGGCATAAGGGGCCCTTCAGTGGCATAAGGGGCCCTTCAGTGCCAAATACGAAATCAAAAACACCGTATTTCCGAAACAAAAACGAACCTGCAAGCCCTCCCAAAAATCTTAAGGGTCTCTTAAGTACAAGATGGTCCCGGGTAAGTATCCCTGCCTGCTGCCCTCCCAAAAATCTTATAATACTCGCACAGTTGTTCAGACTTCTTCTGGTCTCCTCCAGTGCGTGTCATCACCGCAAACAACTATCTTCACACCATACTCGCACTGTTCGGCACTCTATGGACTGCTAAAGCACGTCAAGCTCTTCTCATCACAGCAAATAACTATATTCACACTCTCTGTTCTGCACTCCATGGACTGCTGAAGCACGTCAAGCTCTTCTCATCACGGCAAATAACTATATTCACACTCCAAACTGCTGAAGCACGTCAAGCTCTCCGTGTTTTGCACTCTATGAACTGCTGACGCATGTCAATCAGGAAGGCAACTCAACCAAACCCAAACGTAATCGCGATTCCATCTATGGTACACACCTTCGGTTACTGCCGTTTCAGCAAAAGTGATGCACAGTGAGCACAAATGCACTGTTTGTGCTGTACGCATGTGACTCTACATGTTTACGTCTGTCTTAAACATCAACCAGATTTCTTATATGGTAAGTGCTCACTACTCGAAAAGTCCAAATGAGCTGTCAATGTAGACCACCTGCTTAAACCCCTTCTACATGCCCCCAGCCTTGCAGAAAATTTTTTTGTCACCTAGTCCGACAATTTCGCGGGTCGGCCAAAGAACAAAAACAAAAGTGTGCTGCTGGCGATTTGGAAAAGCTTGGCGAAAAATGCAGCGACTCCAGGCCCCGGTGTAGCTGGGAATGCAGCGTCGTGGGTCTATGCAAGGGCTATTCAAGGTCACCTGGCAATTGGGGACACTGTTCTATCGGGGCTATGATCTGTTGATCAGCTCACTCTTGGTCTAGCGTCCATTGAACAATGACCAAAGATTGGTGGGTCCACACACTAGATATGGATTGCTTCGTCAAGGCAGACACGTCATACACGATCCGCAAGCAAACGACAACAGCCTCTGCGCTTGCTCGTCTCTAACTGGTTATCACAGCTTTGTGTAGCGTATGTCGCAAGCATATGGCGCTGGCCGAAAACACAGTCAAAGCCCTTTCTGTAAAGTCAGTACTCCGGTGCCAAATGCACAGCAAAATATCTCACCAGTCAGAACCTCTACTAGTCTCCACAAAGACCACACCTACTCTGGACCTCTCTCCAGCACCTACTCTTGACCTCGCTCAACAACCAGCCCCCCCTCCCCCCCCCTCTCCTCCCCCTCTGCGGCCCCCTTGCTGTTCAGTTCCTGTACTTCGGCTTTGCCTTCCTGCCTCTCTTCTCGACCTCACGACACGACCACGACGACGCTGGGAATGACACGACAGATATGAACTAAAATAACAGTCAGATTCTGAAGTCAAACTCAGAGGAGTAGTCAACGCCCTCATGACTGAGTTGCAGTAACCTCACCAAAAGAACAGACAGTCTTGATAGAATGTGTGCAAGGCATGGGAAACACTCCGTCGCGCAGAGCAGGTGTCGGAAGGCAAATTTCTCCAACGAAAACATTCATCATCCCGGTGCACAAGCTTGATGTGATGTGGTCCAGAGAACACAACTAGCTTCTTCCCCCGAAAAGAACGCCTGATCATTATCACTGCATCCGGACTGAAAAATGCACCAAATACAGCTAGAATGACCGGACACTATACTCCGGCGAAAATGGTACTTGCCTTGCAGTAAGTGACACGTTCGTTAAGGCAGAGCAAGTCTTCAAAGGGGTGAATTTTGCGCAAAGACATGCAGTCACAGTCTAAAGACAGGCAGGCCAAGCTCGCTGCCTACAAACACATGGGCTGTCACTGAAACCAAGCGCAACTAAGGTCATACTCACAGTAGGACTTCTTCCACAAAGTTCTGGACATGAATACGGTCAAATTCGTCCGGATCTCGCCATAACCGCAGTCAGACACATTTAGGAAAGTGCTTGTGAGGGTGTGCCATCATACCAGTATTGTACTACCCAAGTAGGGCGGCAATTGACGGCCAATTCATTCAGAAAACTAACTGTGAGAATTCCACTAAGTTCTGGACATGAATACGGTCAGATTCGTCCGGGTCGGCCATAATTGCAGTCAGAAACAGTTACGAAAGTGCTTGTGCGAGTGTGCCATCATACCAGTATTGTACTATCCAAGTAGGGCGGCAATTGACGGCAAATTCATTCGGAAAACTAAGTGTGAGAATGGGCTACGCAAGCGCAACGACAAAAAAAACAAACAAACGAAACGATCTGAGGCAAATTGACCAAAGGTACACGTGGCAATCTAAGTGAGCTCGCGCAGTATACCTACAGTGTACAACATGCAGTGCTGAAGCGCTGAATACAAACAAGGCAGAAAACCACAGTTCAAGCCGATTACGCAGAAGATTCACCGCTTGGTCGAATTAAATGCGGGGCCACATTCATTGAGACCATCACGACAAAGACGGCCCTGCCGAATGCGACAGGAATGATACATCCAGACCTTATCATTCCCACCGCTTAGAAATGTCAGTGAAAGAAGAAATACCGGAAATCCTTTGACGCACCCTCTCTCCTCACCTGCTGCCGTTCCGCACTTGCAGACTTCTCTCTCTCCACTTTCCTCCTTATTTCAGAGCCCCACAAGCCACCGATCAAGCTTCCTACCCAATTCTTTTTCCGGTCTCCCTTCCCGGGGGGTTTCTCAGAAATAGACCGTCCGATTGTAGCACCACCCTTGCTCCCAGTGCTGGCTTCACTCCCCTGTGGGGCATCACCAGCAGCCGCCCCAACGCCAGAGACGCTACCTGGAACACATCCCGCAGCAACAGCCGCGATGGGCCTTTTCCGATCCTCTCTGCCTGTCCGCTCATTCCGTCCATCCCCATGCTTGTTGCCGCTCCTCCCCTCCCTGCGGCCAGCATCGTTAATCATAGCTTGGGCCAAGACAGCTGCCTCCTCAGCTTGCCTAAGCGTGTCTTTGATATCTAAGATAACCCCCTGTCTCACTCCCCTAGGTCCGTCTCTCGATGGCTCCTTCGTTGTCTTGTTCTCCATTCCGCGTACGTTTTCCTGAGATCCAAATTCTTCCTCCTCTACGTCACTCTTCCGCTCTTCCTCCCGCGTTTGACATTTGACCTCCTTGAAAGTTCCCTCAGGTTTTGTTGAGTGCATACCACCTCCAGAATAAGCTACGCCCAGGCTTGCACGCCGGCTTGTAGCCGCCCATCGGCTATCCGACACATCAGACTCGCCGGCAATGTTTTCCCCACTCGTTCTACCTTGCAGGACATCTCCAACACTCAGTCTCCTACTCGTTCTGCTTACATGGCCTCGAGGACTGGGATCCAGCAACTTTCCCTCCCTATCCTTTTGCCGGGGTTCATCCTTCCAGTTGGAACGACTGCCACGGCCAGTCTTCGGACTCGATGGAGTGTATCCGCGGAAACTTTGACTCCCCAGACTTTCCGCAGTAGCTGCTGATGACCTGAAATGCGCCGTTGGAACGCCACTGTTTCTTTGTTTAATTGATTCATCACGACCCCTACTGTCAGGCGCAGTCTTTGTGGGGACCACCTTTCCTTGTCCAACCCAATCTGTATTACTTTCCAAAACACTCGTTCCGGACACACCCTTCGCTGTCTCTGCAGTCCTCTCTGATCGACCAATTGCAGTTGCTGCCGTCACTGAGGTCCTTGTAACCTGTGGGACTGTCCTGGCAGCGGTGGCACTCGAGCCCTTTCTAGAACCCTCTGGTGGCTGCTTCTGACATGCTGACCATTCACATGCAGACGTACCCAGCGAACCTTCCATTTCCTTTCCATCTCCGGTGACATGGCTCTCCCATTCAGACAGTCCGTTCCTTGTGAATTGCTCAAAATCATATTGATTCAACCCCCCTGCAATGCTGCGCCTACGTGATGATGATGCATGAGCGGTCTCCGAACTGAAGGGGAGAGGATCCATAACTCCCCCAACACTGCATCGCCTGGACGGATGCAGACTTGGTCCCTCTGGGAACACTCTTCCTCTGCCCCCGAATCCATCAAGCCCTCCAACTTTCTCCGTTGGCAACAAGTTCGCCGCATGCCTTCTAGGAGTTGAAGCTTCAGTGGCAGCAGCTGAGGTGACCTTCGGCGGAGTCTTCTGTGAGGTAGTCGGCACCTCACATGGCACTCCTGTTGGCTGGGCGCTCGTCTTGGTTGTCGTTCGATGCCTATCCGAGGTGCTCGTTCCACGCCATGGCCTGAATACGTGAACAGTTTCCTCCCCAGCCATCATCCCTCTACCCTTATCTGCCATCTGTCCCTCTCCACCAGCCTCATTCTCCTCCTCTCGACCTCTACTTCTCTCATCTTTTACGGAAACCCTCTCGCAATTTCCTTTGTTGCTCTCTCGCTTAAACGAAGCAGCACCCACATGCATCCTGGCCATCCCACAAGTCCCACTCTCTGGACATTGCTTTGAGTCGCCTTCCTCTCCCTTTCCAGGGACTGTACCTCTGCTCCCGCTTCCATTCTCCCCTCGAAGATCCTTCAACTCCACTTGGGCATTACGTCCAAACAGCCGGTCCAGATGACTTCGAATCTTCTGTCTGTGAACTCTCCCTTTGCCCCCCCCGTTGCCGTCCACTTCCTCCTCTGCTGACGGCATCTTCGCACGGGGGCTACCTTTGCCTGCAACAAGTTCCTCCGCTTTCGCCTTTCGTCTCCTTTCCTCCCAAGCATCGCGTCTTTCTTTTGCATGCTGCCTTGCTTCTGCCATCTCCTTTTCCCACCGCAATCTCCTCTCCTCCCACTCCTTCTCCATCGCCGCAACCCGCGCCTTTGCCCTATCCCGATATGCTCTGAGTTTCTCAACATCCTCAGACCAGTCCATGGACATTGCAGCAGGAGGCCCTTTGCTCGCACCTCTCCCTGATTGCTTCCCACCCATCCATGAGGGCATGCTGCAGTCAACACGCACACCTGACCAATTACCAGCTGCGCCAGGGCCATATCTACTATGGCTATCTTGCTTCTCCGCTCTCCCTTTCCCCGGCCCAATGTCATGAGCGGTACCCGCCATGCTCCCTCCAGCATTGTCCATGCCCCTTTCCCTCTGCAGACCTGTGGAAAAAGGCCTCGACTGAAAATCCTGACCCGAAGATGTTGATAGTGCCTTGTGGTTGAATTGACAATAACCACAACCATTCTGACTCCACTTCATGTTGAAAGCAATCCGTTTCGTTTTGTCTGAAAGAACAGCATATGCCTGTCAGGTGGAAGAGAGTGAGCGCCACAAAGCACACTACGTCAGCGACTTCACAACGACGACATCAGATGTGCTTATTACACTGCATAAAATGAACTACATCACATGCTCAGGAGAAAATACAAGTCATAAAAAAAGGCGATGGATGAGAGTACGATTGGGAGTAAGATCCAGCAGCCACATAGAGAAAGCAGTTGCGTACACGTGTGCTCTTCAAAGATGGTCATCTGATGGAAGCAACTTGCATTCACGACACAAGGAGAAGGGAGGGAAGAGTAAGCAAAGTCAGAACGGGATGAGAGAATCGGAATGCAATGCGATCTAAAGATCGCGTCGGAATACTGCAGGCCCCCATGCCCACGGCAGAGATGGTCATCTGATGGTAGTTGGAACTTGTAAAATGCACAGATAGACCCACACCATATTTCTGATATCTCCCCTCCACCAGAGGGTGTTGACATCGCAGATGCAAAGCACCGGCGACAGAGAGCTCACTCGCCGGCCTTAGCAGCAATAAAGCACGTTCAGAGGAAATGCTGTGCCATAGTTGTCCCACTGAAACACTTGTGCGAATTTCTTGCACCAAGCCACCCACCAGTCTCAAGCTGCAACGACAAAGATCAAGCACGTTCATAACATCGCGAAGAACAGACGGATAAAGAGATGGGCAGACAAACGAACTGGCAACCTGACAGACTGACAGACTCCTGACCTGAAAAACGGCAAGGCGACAAAAGCCGCCTCTCAAGGTGACAGGAACGACGAGCTCCAGAAGAAAAAGCAGAGGAAAAATAATTCGAGATAAGAAATACAAAAGATAGCGCAAACAAACTGCCAGGGAAAGTTGTTGAAGCACCACCAGTCCATGAGCAAGGTGTGTGAGTTAACCCGCCTGCAGTTTAGCGGCTGTACAGGTCTGCCTCCCCCAAGTGTTTATTTTTTCCCCTACCTCCGCAAAGTTAAATACATTCATGACCAAAAAAACTGTCGGAAGTTCACATGGCAGAGAAGTGGATTTGTGGTTTCAAGGCCTTAACCACGTGCCAACGAATTCGAATAAGAAGAGGAGGAAGAAAAGGCCAAAGGACTAAAGGAAGACTACAATGCCAAGGAAACAACAACAAAGAAGAGGAAGACGATGGGCTTTACTCGTTTCCAAGTGTCGATTGGAAAGCACTTTGGGGAAAACTCATTGAAACAGTATATAACCCATTGAAAAAAATGACGAAATGATGAAAACGATATGCTCAGCACATTGGCTTGACAAATAGAGAGACAAGTTCAGACAACAGTATTCAAGACTAAAGAACTTACCTCGTTCACTATTTTGAATGCCTCTTCCGCACGTGCACTATTGTTCTTATCAGGATGCAGAAGCAGCGCTGTATCAAAAAAAACACAGCAACACAAGCAAAATTCCAATCAAAGATATATATTATTTATATCATTAGGAGAAAGCTCAAATACTCTCCAGGTCAATCATCCAGGCGTTGTAACAAGCCAACCAAGGCAAAAAAAAAAGGCCGAATTTTTCAGAGAAATAAACATCCTATGCTAATAACCTCGTTTATGTGCGAATATGTACGTGTACAGATGTTTGTGTAAATTGCATGTATGTACATGTACATGTGTGCATTTACGTGTGTAATGCATGTCTGAAAATGAATGTGTGCAGACAAGGATTGTGGCAGTAGATCTTGTGTGTTCAAATGAGAGGGTTGCTTCCCCGTATGCTTCGTCACACTGTTAAACATGTGGACAAAACCCAAACATTGCAAAGTTACAAAACCGCCTTCACCGTCGTGTTAATGGGGTAGGGCTGGACTTACCGAGCTGCCTGAACTTCTTCTTGATGGTAATATCATCTGCATTTTCTTGGACCTGGACAAGCAGAGACAAAGAAAGCAATCAGTCTCAACATCATGCGGCAAGGACAAAACAGAACTCGTTTACATTCACTCGACATACGAAGAAGACCAAAGCAAAGGAAAACAGAGTGTAGCGGTGGGATAACAAGCCCGACGCAGCGAATCGGAGCAGCTCTGATCAGAAGGTCGGCCGCAAGTTCGACGATGCAAAACTGTGGTTGCAATTTAGATAAATGATGATGATAAAGATAATTAGAGGGAAGATAATTATTATGAAGATAATGATGATTATGATTACAATGATAGAAGATATAGCTAGGTAGCCAGACAGTCACATGATTCTTTTCCTCGTTTTTCTTGGTCGCTGAGACCTACATCCATTTGGAGGAAAGATGCACCTGCTGTCAATTGGGGCAGACAATCTGGCTCCTAGACACTTAACTCAAAACCCCTTCCCTCTTCACCCGCTGTTGGGACCACAGTTGGCAGTTGGACCTGCAGTTGATAGGGAGGGCCGCATTTGGGAGTGGGGACCACACTAATAGCCGCCTGATATGACCATCGTTCCAGTACCAAATTGACCGGAAGGATATCACACATAGCAATCTGCAATCCTTGGTTTATGAAGGATAAGAAGTGGCTAGGAGATGAAAAAGAGAGAGAAAGAGAGAGAGAGAGAGAGAGAGAAAGAGAAAGAGAGAGAGAGAGAGAGAAAGAGAGAGAGAGAGAGAGAGAGAGAAAGGTAGGAATGCAGGGGAGGCCAAATTTTGATGAGGCCCCGCCATGACTTATTCCCTAAAGAATAATAAATGCGGACCTGCACTTACTATTGCTTAGAGAGAAAGCGAATGCAGGCCTCACTAATTGACAGACCTATTATTTATGGTCGTCTCCCACATATCCGATTACGATGACGATAACAATACCGCAGTATAACGTCACTGAAAATTATCACCGATTCAAATTTCAGGTTCACAAAAGCACGACGGATGAGATACAGTAATATGTCCGTGAAACTCCACTGAAAGTCTGTCACAGCCCCTCATTCATCGTCTTCTCCCTATTTGCTTTTAGTTTACCAGGAGAAGACGACAAACGAGCGGCTATCAAAAAATTGTAGCAGCTCTGTTCGACGATGTATGCAACAACTTCGATAGCCCCCTGCTACAGCTTTCACCACCATGCTTGTGTCAACCTGAAATTTGATCGACGATCAAAACAGTCAGTCACCGCCCCTCGTTTGTTGTCCTCGTCTCTCTCTCTCTGCCTACGGTTTACCAGGCAGTTCTGTTTGACGATATATGCCATGACTTTGATAGCGCCCTGCTACTGTTTTCTCCGGTCTGGTTGAGGATCGGCGCCGTCACTGTGCGGCCATGCTGTGCCTCTAGTGCCAGCAGCGTGTCTGGAGTGTATTTTCAGGCTGTGACAGACCTTTCCTTGTTTCGTGAGTGTTTCGCTGGCTTGTGATAAGGTGTGAACCTGCAGTCTGCAAAGTTTTCCGGCTGGTGTGGGTGAGTGATAGTCTGAGTTGATTTTCGTCACAGGTACCTTGAGGGCAGGGTTGCTTCCCACCTCAGGGTGTCAGTCATCGGGTGGGCTGTCATTTGATGCTTAACCGCAACCGGAGTTAAGGTGGCTTATCACTTTCGGTATCGCTGGCTAGGGGACCCCGCAGACTGTAGAGGGTTCGGTGAAACTGCAACAAAACAGTATGTCACAGCACCTCGTTTGTTGTCCTGTTCTCCCTTTCGGCCTACCGTTTCCTGGGGACACTTCTGTTCGACGGTCTAGAGAGAGCGAGGGAGACAGAGAGTTTTCCATCTGGTGTGGGTGAGTGATAGTCTGTTTTGATTTTTTTGTCACAGGTACCTTGAGGGCAGTGGTTGGTGGTCCCCACCACCTAAGGGGGGTACCAGTTGTCGGGCAGTCGTTGATGCTTAACCACAACCCGGGTTAAGGTGGATTATCACTTACAGTGTAAACAGTTAGGGGATTCTGCAGTCTGTCGAGGGTTCAGCCTCCTGACGAGTCGGTGAAACTCCGACGAAACAGTTTGTCACAGCCCCTAGTTTGTTCTCCTCTTCTCCCTCCCTCTCTGCCTACGGTTTACCGGGCAGTTCTGTTTGTATATATATCGTCACAAACAGAACTGCCCGGTAAACCGTAGGCAGAGAGAGAGAAGAGGACAACAAACGAGGGGCTATATATATAATATATATCGTCAAATAGAGCTGCCCCGTAAACCGTAGGCAGAGAGGGAGAAGAGGACAACAACGTGACAAACTGTTTCCTCGGAGTTTCGCCGACTCATCAGGAGGCTGAACCCTCAACATTGCTTTCGATGTCTTCCTAAAACGGAAAGAAAGCCGTGCCGCTCCCTCGGTACAGCTCGGAGATAAATCAAACTGCCATCGAATTCATTATACTTACCAGTAGCCTTCGGATTCATCATACTTCGAATTCTGATAAAAATAGCTTTTTTAGGGAAAAGTCACGCTACAAATATCTTAGATTCGTTTCTTCAGAACTGCTGAGCAACGTAGGATCGAGCGGCCATAGCACTTCAAATTTATTTAATGCTGTTTTAAAGGAGGTAGGCCCTAACATTATTGTACGCATACATTTCCACAAAGGTTCAAGCTCGTTCTACATGTGTATCCTGTTCAGTCACATGGTCTGGGTGACCCTACGCCTACTCTTCTTCCGAGTGTGGGGGGAGGGAGGGGGAGGGGGGGAGGTAAGGAGCATCTATAAGACCTCTTTGCTGTGAAAACCGCTATCCGTTGTCTCGCAGCTTTTTCTAGCCTGCCCAAATTCGATATTTACACTCGTCACGAAACAAAAAGGGTCGGAGTAGAAGTAAATAGGATAGGGGAGGGTAGGAGTGGAAGTAGGAGTAAATAGGATAGGGGAGGGAAGGGGAGGATAGGCGTAGAGTAGGAGTATGAGTGGGTAGGTAGGGAGGAAGACCAGGGAACTCGGCCAAACAGGAGAGGGAAAGAAGAGTGCTATGAGAAACATGCTCACTCGGTTGCCAAGGCTGCAGGTAGGAGGCCAGAAGCGAGTGCCAGCAGGCACGAGCTTGGTTCCGCTGGGCGCTGCAACGCTTCCCCAAAACACAATGTGCCTTTCCGGTCCGCTGGGGGCATGATAGGGGCGCGTTGAGTTCGGGGGAACACGGTAGTCGGCCCCGTGGCCAAAATGGGCCGCGGTAGCACAGTCCGATCAAGGAAACGGTCACGGTAGTACGGTCACGGTAGTACGGTCACGGTAGTAGGCCCCGTGTCCAAAATGGGCCGCGTGGCCAAAATGGGCCGCGTGGCCAAAATGGGCCGCGGTAGCAGAGTCCGATCAAGGAAAAGGTCACTTCCCCTAGTGGGCTGAAGCCGGGTCTTTTTTGTGAAGAAGAAAAGAAAAAATCAGACGATCAAGGAAAAGGAAGGATAAATGAAGGATGGCTGACGGGGACGTCAGCATTGAATTTTTTTTTTATTTATTGGAGTTGAATTGAGTTGCAGTTAGATTTGAAGGTGACCTGTCCCTTGACAAGATCCCAATGCCTGACCCTAAACTGGGTAATGGTCCCAGTATTTTTCCTCCGGGTTGTTTCCCGAGGTTTTCCCCCAGACTCTTATTTTCCTCCGAGTTGCAGTTCAATGTTCGGTAATATGGACCATTTCTCGATTTATGCGTGTCATCCTTCCGCAGGGGCCATGCTAATCTTCTTTGTATCGTTCCAATTTTAACGGATGTCCCGAAGGACATGTTCGGTAATATGACGCCCTAAGGGCCCCTTCTTTTGTGTTAAAAAAATATACTACAGTAACAAAAAATAAAGGGAAAGTGACTGAAATTGTTACTGTAATAAAAAAAGTATAGCGACACTGAGTGATGCTCCAGGTCTTCGTTCCGGTTCCTTGACGAAAAAAGCGGAAAAAATGTGACCATCGAACAGTCCGGGCCTAGGTAATTCAGAGTTATTTTACTAGTATGATTTCTTTTAATCCGGATTCGAACTCAGGCCGGCTTATCAAAAGTCACAAGGGCGTACCACTCAAACATCATGGGCCTGAATCGTGAACAGAAAAGAGCTTTGGGAAAAGAAATTAAAAAAAAACAGCGCGACTTGGTAGCCGACTCCAGGAGCAAAGAGGAATCTGGATGGGTTGTAAGAAGAGATGCAGAAAGCAGATCAATCGCGATTATCCGCACCTCTCCACAAACACGTCCAGATTCGGCCGTCCAATCCAGATTTGCTAGTTGGACTGCGCCCAGGTACATTCGGAATTATTTCACATATCTGATCTGATTGCATCAGAACTCGAACTGATTAATCAACCGTCTATGTACAATTCACTAAATTCCCAGTAGCACCGTTGAGTTCAGCTATAATGAATTGGAATTTAAAATTACGAAAAAATACATTTTTTAAGCTCTTGTTATCAGGGGCTAAGTCCCAGTAGCACCGTTGAGTTCAGCTTCAATGGCGCCACACACTTTTGGGGGGAAACAATAACGGAACAAATAATCAAAAGTTCGACACAAATGCATTTCTTCAAAATCTTCTCTATGCATTTATTAAATTTTATTTATTAAAAAACACAAATTGGAAACTGGCACAAATCTCCGAGGCCATCGACGGTGAAACACGCCATGTATACCTTACACTGTGGACTCCACCTCGCCATTCTGGCAATTGAATGTGGACAGAATTCAGCGAGAGTTGCATCCAGGGCCCCAAAGGAACGCCAACCACACCACCAGGATGTAACAGACTGAGGTCAGGGCACCTCCCCATTGTGTTGTTTCGCTTCCATCGTCGAGATATCAACGCGTGGTCGAGATAGCTCGGTCTGTATGTACTTTGGGATAGTACATCAGCGACCGAGCTATCTCACGCGTGGTCGAGATACCAACAATCCCCTAATGCGACCGGCGGAGTGGCACTTAGCCTGAGGGAAACACAAGTTTTAAAATCTTTGTTTAGCACGTCAATAAATAAATAAGGCCCCATTGTTGACCCTCGCTCCACCCCCCCCCCCCAAAAAAAAAAAAAAAAAAAAAAAAAAAACAAGGCAAATGCACCTTTCCATCTTCTAACATACACTGGCCATTTATGCATTTGGAGAGTACCTGGGCGAGGCCCATTGCTCAGCTATTGAAGTGGTAACCCCGGGCTTGGTCCCACCTACCCAGATCCCGCCCCATTTCTTCTGACAATTAATTACGCAAATCTTTTTTTTTTTTTTTTAAATTACACTAATCTATGGCTAAGAAATAACAATTTTCTGCCAAGTGAGACCGTGCCCCCGAGCGTCAAGACTTGCCCACCCCAAAAACAAAAAAAAAAAGAACAGCCCTGTCCCAACACCATCCCCGCACGAGAGCCAGGGTACATGGTCCCACGCTGGGACCAGGTGCCATCGTACATGGTCCCACGTTTTCGGAATTCAAAAAAACGTGGTCCCACGTCTTTCAAAGTTGCAAAGGTATATATGCATGAGACGCAGAGAAGCGCAAAGATGACGGGACCAGGTACCATAGTACCAAGATGGGACCAGGTACTATAGTACCACGATGGGTCCAAGTAAACGCCAGCTTCCGTACTTCAAAAAACGAAGAGGTTAAAAATAAGAGCAAATCCGACGTTAAAGAAGAAGAAAACCTCCACAATCCCCAAGCTCCACAATCCACCTCAACAATCCCACGTCAAAATCAGTTCTTCTTCGACGTCGTGGTCGCTTTTCGCCGACAAGCCTTCTCTCATTTTGGCAAAACACACACAAAAAAAAGTGAATATCAATTACCAGCAGCAGCACCGGAGCGCAAAGACGTTAACGAGGTGGAAATTGAAAAATAAAAAATAAAGAATAAAAAAATAAAACACACAACGAAAAGAAGAGACGACCACGGCAACGAAACGGAATCTTCGTCGTTGACGTCAACGGCGCTGATCGTTACCGTCGACGTCACCATGCTCTTGACGTCAACACGCAATCGTCGTCGTTGACGTCCACACACGTAATCGCCGACTTTGACGTTAGCGTCGACATCACTGAAGTCATTAACGCTTTGGATGCAACGACTTCGGCGGGGGGCAGAACGGGGGGCCGAGCGGAAGGGCAGAACGGGGGGGCGAGCGGAAGGGCGAGCGGAAGGGCGAGCGGAAGGGCGAGCGGAAGGGCGAGCGGAAGGGCGAGGGCAGGGGGGAGAAACAACTGTTAATTTGCATAGGCGAATCGTTCGACTATGTTTGTGAACGAGAAGGGAAGACACAGAGAGAGAGAGAGGCACTTACGAATCAATGGTCTGCAGCATGGGGAACACGGCGAAGTGGTTGAAAGAAGACAGGGCCGAGGGAATTCTAAGAAGATGAAAAAGCGCAACAAAGGAGGAGTATGTATGGGATTAGGCACGGAAACCGGCAGAAAAGAAAGCCAAGGAAGAGAGAGATCGACCAGAAAGAAGACAGTCAGTGACAATAACGATGGCAGACGAACGAAGAGGAAGGAAGAGATAGAGAGAGAGAGAACGAGAGAGAACAAGAAACAGGGAGATCGGTATAACATAGGGAGGGAGAGGTTAAGGCACAGGACAGAATAGAAAAAGAGGGAAAAGGGAGAAGCCACAAGGGGGGGAGCGCAAAAGTCATGTACGCCACGCTGGTAATGACAACCATGGCCATTGACGATACAAGTAAAATCCCCGAAAATTTCGCGAAATTTAAAAAAACGAAAGTGGGAAAAAGCAAAGAAACAGAAAAACAGGACAGGCTGCACAGCCCAAGCCCCATTGAAATGAAGAATGCCATTCAGAGAACATGAAGGAGTTATTAAGCGAGAGGAAGAGAAATGTTAATCCAACGGCGACTGGAGGTCAAAGAGAAGGAAGGTCCCCTTTCCAAAAGTAACCCGACGGAAAGAGCGAGAGGGAGGGCACAGGGAGACGACCAGAGGGAGAGAGAGAGAAAAAAGCAGGACGTAGAAGCGGACAGACAAATGGAACAAAGTGAATCAAGCAGAGGGTCGGGGACAGGGACAAAAAAATGAAAAGGAGATTGACTATGACGGATGTATCTTTCCACATTATGGCGGAAAGATACATTCTCCATACACTTGGTGAGTAGTGCAACGAGGGCCAAAGAGACAGAGACAGGGTGAGAGGAGATTGACTATGACGGATGTATCTTTCCACATTATGGCGGAAAGATACGTTCTCCATACATTTGGTGAGTAGTGCAACGAGGGCCAAAGAGACAGAGACAGGGTGAGAGAGGACAAAGGGGAGAGGTGGGAGCAGAGAAGAGAGAACGATGCAAACGACAGAGAAGAGGGAGAAGAGGGAGAAGATAGAGAAGAGATAGAAGATAGAGAAGAGAGAAGAAAGAGAAGAGAGAGAAAAGCAGGAGGAACAGACAGGGCGAGAGGACAGGGGGAAGAGGTGGGAATGTGGAAGGGAGAGCAATGCAAGGCATTGATTTGGGACGGGGAGGATGGGGGGAGAATATGGTAACAAGGGGTAGAAGATAGAATGGGCAGAAAGAAGAGCAGGAGGAATAGGAGGAAGAAGAGGTGGGTGGAGTATGAGGGACATGACATAGAGAGAGCATTACATACCTGAAGGACATGATACCAGTCTGTGAACTTAGGACCGGTGGTCTTCGGCCTACACTGACATCGAAGATTCGGATGACCGGTGACCGGTCTCGTCTTGGCCGCCAAGCACACCTGGGCTACAGCACTGATTTCCGCGTATCCCTTCATACCAGGGAAAACACGCTCCATCTTCTGAAGCAATCCGACTGCCATATCCAGCTGTCCACTCTTCACCATCGTCTCCACCTCGGCCATAGCCAACGACGCAGCCTCCTCATCCCATGCCGCCCCATCCTCTCCCATCTCTCCTCTCTGCCTCTTCACCAGTTACGCTCTCCCTCTCTCTCTCTCTCTCTCTCTCTCTCTCTCTCTCTCTCTCTCTCTCTCTCTCTCTCTCTCTCTCTACCTACCTACCTACCTACCTACCTACCTACCTACCTACCTACTTATCTATCTCTCTATCTCTCTCTGTGTGGCTGGCTGGCTGTTATGACTCCTCTTCGCGGCAAACTGGCGTACACATGCCAGGGCAACGGGCGCGTTCAATCAAACGTTGAATCTGCTTCCTAAACGTGAATTGATCGATTCCGTTGAAGTCCATCCAGGTTCCGTTAAAATGCGAATCCGTTAGGTTTGAACTCGTTACCTCTGAGTCGGTTGGCTTTCATAGTGGTACGACTTTGATTGCTAGTAAGAGCTCAGTAGAGAGAGAGAGAGAAGGACAAAAAAAAAAAGTAGACAGAGAGAAAGAGGAAGAGATTCGTGGAAATGCGCTGGAGACCCCAGAGACGGGATGAGAAAAACAAAATTACAGTAAGTTCCCGGTGAGCACCAAAATCAAACTTGAGAAAACAATAAATAGAAGAAGCGACCGACGGCGTACTTACATGCAAACGGGAGGAGAAAGAAAAACACAGAGCACATAAATATTACACAACCGGTCGACGAACAGGAGAAAGTAAAAAGGAAATCTTCCACAGATCAAAACCAATCTGGACTCGGGATGCCGGCGATGGTCGAGTAACATATTAAGAACGCCGCATCAACACAGCTGGTTGAAGCCAATGGAAAGTAACACCATTACCGCCATAACCCCGGTCATTGCAGAAGAAACGGACAAAACAGGTCGTTACGGTCTCTCCCGCTGGGTCTTCCACACCCTCTCCGCCTCTCTCTCTCTCTCTCTCTCTCTCTCTCTCTCTCTCTCTC